GAATTGGTTCAGAACATATTTGATAAATACTTCAAAGCCTGCAGTTCAAATGGTATTTATTTTCGAGAAGTTAAATAAAAATCGCCATCTGTCTGCTGGATACGTATGCCATAAGATGCAAGTTAAATAAATGTATTAATTTATACAAAAAAATATAAAGAACATTAATTCTTTCATATACTTTTCTTATGTTTAATAATATATAAATGTAAAAATAAAATAGTAACCTAGCAAACACCTTTCAAACTAACGTACTAAATAACTTCAAATATTTTAAATTAACAACGTTCAAACACAATTATTTCAAATAAATTTCAAATTTGTGTTAGGTTCAGCAAATAATATTTTTACGAAAATAAAAGTTACTGATGAAAATGATGCACCTACGAAAAATAATGTTATTTTAATAATGTTTTTTTGTTTTCTGTAGCAGAACATAACAATTTCTTTTATAATCGCTGAAATTATATGTATCAATGCTTTAAAATTACAAGCAATTAATCATTAATATGACATCAGTATATCAGAGAAGGTAGAAAAATATTCACCTATGTAGAACAAAGCGCAAAGTATCATGGGAGCGATAGAACTTCAGCCACTTCCAGCTCGCTGTGTGAATGGTTCTGACAATTATACATGTTAATCAATTTTAAGTATAATACAGGATATGACGTTGCAGTTTTGTCAACAAGTTGAAATATTTTGGAATATTTTATGGAATTTTCATTCAACGTAGTGAGTTGGTGCACTTAAGCATCTCAGTAGAACTTTTAAATCGTTTCTGCAAGTCGGAAAGAATGATTTTAGTAAATTAAGGCTTCTGGACATCTTATCAGATTGAATAGCGTTTTTCATTGAACGATAAAACAAATTTAAACAATTTTCCCCTTTTTATTTTAATAAAAGACGATACTAAGAAGCATTCTCGCAATTTGCTTAATTGATCTAATCCAGTACATATGTCGGGTTAAGTCTAGCAGAAAAAAAAATTTTAGAATTTTTAAAATTTTTCCTAATATACCGTCATCAACACGTGCACAATAATTTTACATGTGAAAATGTAAAGATAATCCACCTAAACCGGAAGCACGGTTCAGTGCCTAAACATCGGTGTGACGACTGAAACAAAAGAACACGTTTGAAACAAAAGAAGAAAGTGAAAACGTTTACTCGAAGCTTTTACCAGTGGACAGATGCTTCGAAAGAGCAAGACGAGAAGGTACCAAGTTTAATTAACGACGGGAATAAGAGGAAACGTTACACGCACTTTCCGTTTGTTCATTCTGGTGAAAGGTAATAAAATTAAATCTCGTTTATACATTTTTTTTAGACCTACGGTACATTAAGAAATTTGCTATTAGAGTGTTCGAAACCAACGATGCAGATACGTTTTCGCGCGAGTGATACGAATTTAGAAGGTGATAAATGGTAATATCATTTTAAAAAGTAATCCACGGGATATCATCTATTTTAACAAATGTAAAATTAGCAGTAGTAAGTTTTTTGAACTTAAGCTAAACAATACCAAGAGTTAATAAATTGTGTTTATTTATAGGTAAAACCCAAAATGGAAGAAACGTCACTTGATCAATTAACAGATATACGTCAATTTTATAGAATTACATCAGGCAATTTTATAGTATTGCCTGAAATAATTTATAAAATATTTGAATACTTAAAAGATGCGGAATTAGACGTATGCAGACAAGTCTGTAAGCATTGTACATATATTGTGGACAGAATCATGTCTACCAAAGTGACAATGATCAAAAGGGTAATTACTGTGTTTTGTTAATTTTATTATTAGTGCCACTAGTCGAAAACTCTAACATCGGTTTAAAACTAAAGCTTGTAATTTAACAATTCATCAGCCGTTTTAAAAATTGTTACGATGTAATAATTGTTACAGCAGTTATTCCTTTTTTCTGAAACTACATTTCTATTTAATTTTTTATTACTCGATTGTTTCTTGCTCTCTATAACTTCTTTAAAAGTAAGCGTAAAATTGCTATGCAAAACTTGTCATAAGTGTGAGACAAGCAGGGGGTCAGGGTTTAATCCCTTCTGACCACGTTATCCGCATTGGCTGTTAAAACCTAGTCTTGGAGTCGTTGGATGGCTAGGAAAGTAAAAAGTGAGTGGGGTGTGCGTCAGTAAGCCGGCAGGCATCCTTAGAACAATTATAGACAGGTTTTAACAAAGAAACAAGCATTTATTAGTTAGTTAATTTTAATCTAGATTGCAGGAGGCGATAATAATGCTAAGATTAAATGCGGTTATGCTATACTAGGTATGGCCAAACTTTTATTCCTTAGGGGCTACTTTTTTAGTAAAATATAGTCTGCGGGCGAATATGAATATGGGCAATTTTAGGATTTTTATATGCGCATGCGTTTTCATTTGCATTGTTCATCGAGATAAATACAAAAAGTATGGGTACGTTGCACAGACAGTCTATTAAGAATAAATTATCGAATTAAGATATTTAAACATTAATTTAAGTGAAAGCAAATTGTTCAATTTCAGCTTTGCGGTCGACCGGTCGACCGCGGTCTACGTGTTGGCCACCCCTGTGCTACTATTTACAGAAATTGAGCGACTAATCTCGAACCTATGTTGCTTGCCCTAATTTCTACTTCGAGAGAGAGTTGATAAAGTTTTAGCCCTGACATATATAATACCTCTCAGTCGTAATGGGAAGTTGTAGGCGACGACCGTTGATTCCTGGAAGAGTCGATACCGCTAAAATGTCTTTCAACTTGTGTCTTCTCCTTGGGCTGGATCAAGTCCGTTGAATGGAGGTCAGGGAGACAAAATGGCACTATCACCAATTATAATTTCCAGTTTACACAAAGGAGTCACATGATCGTCAGATGTTGACAATAACGGTGCATTCTTGACACCTATGTGTCAACTTTCCCATCTAATTGTTACCGTGTCAACTTTCCCATCTAATTGTTACCACGAACGGTGAGTTCCGATCTAATTCTCTACCAGGAGCGTTTATTCTATCGGGGTTATTTTACATTTTATTCCTTGACAACTGCGTTAAATTCAGGGATTTCACATAAGAAATGTTATACTTACTTTCAAAGTTTACTGAATTAATTGCAGACATAATTATAAATTAATTTTCCTACTTTAACGATATAAATCTAAAATTGGAAAATCTAAATAAATTTTAAAATTATTATAATTTATTGTTGAAAAATCATCGTAATATTTTGAGCTTTAAGTTTTTAGTTAAGTGTAAAATGCAATTCGTTTGGCATTAAATCTAATAATAACTTCCTTTTATAAACATTTTTGTATTTATTTTAATTATTATGATTTTCGACAGAAAATTCGTATGAATTTAATACTATACACGAATCGGACAAATTACTACATTACACTGGCTTTAACAATAACTTCCAGTATAATTTGTTCTTCTTGTCAAACGAATGTCGATATGCAATTGACGAAGACCTAAACATTAGTGATTTTCACATAAAGTTCTTGCTTTCACAACCATGCGGTAAGTTTTGTGTGTAATTTTCAGTATTTTTACAAAGTAATTTATGTAATCAGTTTAATTTTTAACACAGACAACGTGTTCGTAACCGATGTACACATGGGTGACGTACAGAGTTTCCTCCCGTCTTCCAAGTTTCCTTCAACCCAAGAAACGACAGAAATAATATTATTAATGTTTCCGGATATTCCAAGGTTTAATATTGTTAAAATATCCGTTCGATCTTAGTGAAGATGGAAGTATATTGTATCGTGAAATTTATGACATACCAGCTAACGGTTTTGGTGATACATTTAATTTTATTGTAAACAAACCCACAGTAGATGACTTGATGGCTACAGGAGGAAAGCATCTCTTGCAGAATGTATGCCACACAATAAATATTTCATTAGAAAAAGCAAAATGTCTCATCGCTTACGGAGATGTAATGCAAGGTAGCCGCAAAAATCTACAAATACCAAACTGTAAATTCAGTATCGAAACACATCTTAGAAGATTCACTTTATTCTATGGAGAGAGAGTTAATGCTCTTTCAATCTGCATTGAATACAAGCGATGTGATTATAAGACAGTCAGTGAAAAATTCCATAAATTGAAGGGTTTAAAATCAAGAATGAGACAAAAGAAATGTTTCGTGTATATTTTCCAGTATGATATGTGTTTCGTTCCATCGTTTCGAGCGTTTAGAGAAGCATTTCCAAATGGAAATGCTTCTCTAAACTTTGTAATTATTCATAAAGTACCCACCTTTGTATTAATCAACCCTGCCAAGAACGATCATATTCTTGGCGAAAAAGAAAAGCCCTCAGATATATCACGTGTTGCTTTATTGATTTTTATTTGGTGGGAATAAAAACCTTCTTTTAACATAAGAAGACAGAAGTAACAACTGAGTTTTGCTCGGAAGATTCGCGGTGTCGTCCCTCATTATTGTGTAAGTTTGTATCCATCAGAGAAATTAGAGATTTAACTGGAAGGGTGAAATAGGAAGGAGTTATTTTGACAAAAAGAAAATTTGCATCAAGTGAAGAAGTAATGTGTTTTTTACAAGTTGATATATCTGCGCAACGTGAAGAATGAAATTCGGTGAATCATACTTATATTTTGAAAAATGATTTCTTTTTCTTAGTTGCTGAGCGTGAAGATCGATTTATGCTACTTCAGATGACAATTTATAATTTCAACTTTTAAACTTTGTAACGTTACAATGAATCGAATAATTTTAGAACAAAAAATTTTCAAATAATTAACAATTAAGCTAATAACTTTACGTTGTAAAAGTTGTAAGAATAAACCGTTTTTTTCTTGAAAAACTTCTTGATCGTTATGTTTTAATTTGTTTAAACGTTTAAAAATTTTATAACAGTAAAAATAATTAAAATACTTTCGAAATATACTAAACATTACTGCACTTGTTTGTGCCACATGAGATTATGAGAAGATAACACTTTGCATTTTTATATGCCCCTCTTTATATCATGCTGTATTTGGAAAAATTTAGAAAATGGCGATCATTAATAATTAAAAGTTTGAATACAGCGACCACTCGTAGGCATTTCATGTGACCTAAACGTTTATCGTCAAAGTCCTTTCCTGTAGCTGCTCCTAACACAATGAAGTGCTATAAATTAAGACACTTGGCGGGTTCTCTTATTTTTATTTAGTTGATACGTGTGAAAAAATTACACGTTTCGGGCTCTTAAACCCCTCTTCACCAACTAAAACATAAAAAAGAAGGTATAACACATACATATAAAAAATACACAAGTTTTGTAGAAATTTTTTAAAATTATCGTGATTTAAACATACCTATGCATACAAGTTTTATAAATTGAAGTGACAGCTTACTCTAGATATTTTTTCAGTGACATCAGCTTATTCTCAAAATTTTTTCAACCAACTAAAATATTAGGAGAGTATACGACATATATATACAAAAATACACACAATTTTTATAAAATTTTTAAAATTATCTTGAATTGAAGCATACCTTAAGTACGACCGTTGTTAAAGTTGTACATAATTGATTATACTTTCCACTTATAAACCAGTTTCGTAAAATCCTTGATTTAAAACATACATTGGACTCAACAATTATCAAAATGATATATAATTGATTATGCTTTCCACTCATAAATCAGTTTTGCGAACCCGCCTTACAAATTCTTTACTTCCTTTGATACGCATTGACAATATAGTACGAATTTACATATCTGACGTCTATTATATTTTTACGGTGTATATGGTTTTTAATTTATTTAACATTTTAATTTTTAATATTATAAAATATTATATGAACTAATAATAATACGATGTCTTGAAATTGGAAAACATGATTAACATTTAATATAAATTTACATATTATTTGACACCTATTACAATACTACAGTTTTTTGTTATTGTTGATTTATTTATCAGTTTAATATTTATTATTATATATTAGCAGATTGATCACAATAATAATACAATATTTTTAATCTAGTGGATACAATTAATATATTTTTACTTTCTTCTTTCTTTATTATATTTGTTTTGTTAACTTGTTTTGCACTTAATCTGGAGAGTAGCTTATCATATGTCGGTACTAATTTTACATTAATTTTTTTACTTCTTTATTGACTTCTTCGTATAAGCCTTTTATGTATGGAAAACGAATGTATTTTATTTTTGTTTGTTTAGGATCTATTCTTATTATTATTATAGTAAAGAATAGACGGCGTTACTCAGAGGTATTTCCGTAAAGTGGGTGAAAAGAAGTGAGAAGAAAGTAGACGTAAGAGAAAGTATTGGTGGCAGGGGCCAAAGGGGATGGAAAAGTGGGAAGGAAGGAAGATAGAAGAGGAAGGGTCCCTGACGNTAGCACTGCTAATTTTTCATTTAATGAAAGAGTAACGTGTTTACGTTTCACTCCTGACATGTTAAAAAACACACACAAAATTGTACATGTACACACAATGTAAAACATATACTGTAACGAACACAGAAAAACGCCACGGACGGTGAGTCACCGACGAGTCGGGACAAGTTTCTGGACTCCGACCACGGTCGGATTAACCGGAGTGACGGACTAGCCGAGGGCGGACTTGAGGGGTTCTACTGTACATAAATATAAATTGTTTTTCTTCAATTTCTAGGGTTTCTCGATTGTTCGAAACCGGAATAATTCAAGCCAAGAATAAAACAAAGTATAAAAATCAGAAAATAGAAAGTCAATTTGAAGCAATAAATTTATCAAACTTTTTAGGAGCCTTTTATCTTTTTGTGTCAGGATATTTGTTAGCAATTATCGTTTTTATTTTAGAATTTCTTCTAAATAAAAAGGCCAGAGCTGTGCTTGATGAAGAAGACAATGATAAATTATCAAAAGGTTGTTGAATGCCGGTACGTATATAAATAAGTATAATTTCACCCTATTGCGTTAACTATAAACTCGAACGTTTTTTGAATAAACTTTTATTGTACATTTTTATTAACACGTGAATCAGATTTATATACATTATTTCTACTGCTAAGTGAAAATTTATGTTAATTTAAAAGACGATAAAAAGTATTTAGATAGATTAAATTTGTCTTTATGTGTAATAAGTGTAAAACAGTATAAACAGATAGTAATTATTGTGTTCAAAACAATTCTCATATCGGAATTTTTTAACATTCATTTCAGTCATTATCTGAAAAGTACAAAGTTGTAATGTTTAAGATCGTATATACTGAATGTTAAAATTCACGTAAAGTTGAATAAATTTACACTAAAATTTGCCATTTCTGCAATAACACTTCAGTAATGTTTAGCTGTTGTGTTATGACGCAGATCTGTCTGAGCTTATTCGAAGTCTGTGACATAGTTCGTGTATGTCATTTTTCTCATCTCTATCTCAATCATTCGTCTAGTGTTTTTAATGCACCTATTGGATACGTCATTTAGCGGCGTCACTCTGCAATGGGAATCGCAACACCGTTTTTCCCTCATTATGTTATTATTAGTCGTAACTGTCTATCAATACTGTTACTGTCACTCCCTTGCCAGTCTCAACTCTGCGTTCGTGGAGCAACGTCTCTTGTTACAACTTGCAACTTTTGCTTGAGTTTGATTATTTGGTGTATGGGTGGCATTTCAACGATGAGTTTTGAGCGACTATTTGTCTGTGCATACATTAACAATCTCTTCTACAATATTAATTCTAAATTTATATGGTATGCCTGTGTGAAAACACCGGAGGGGGGTAGGTCTCCCGATCCGGCAACAGGTTGTTAAACCCTTTCACTGTCAGGATGGGTGGAAGGAGTCTTTTTCCCGCAGTAACGGGCTTTAATGTTTCGGGTCGACTGGCGGAGGGAGGAGTGCGTCGGTGAGACGACAGGCGATATACGAGTAAACGAGGAGACCAGATGTAACATAAGAAAAATTAACAATTTATTTAAACAAGTTTCGGGTAATACAACGTCTAGTTCGCGTCCCTAAAACGCGGAGAGACCAAGAGAGAGCTTACAATAATTGGTTCCATACCTCTTGATTTGTTATCCACTGAGGAAAATTATCCACTCTTTGAATTAGGAAAATTCACTGGTAAAAAATTCGCTGGTTAGGAAAGTTCACTGATTAGGAGAGTTCACTGGTTAAATATTTAAATCGATGATTAAGGGAAGTTCACTGGGTAAAAAGGACACTATTTTTAAAGTTTCGGCTCCTGGCACCTGCTCTGGAACGACTCCCCCGAGAAGGGGAAGGAAGGGGTTTTTATAAGATCGGCGTGGGAGAATGGTCACGTGATTGATTGTTGTGAGGTAAAAGGTACGCAGATGGGTCAGAGTTGTTCCCGGGACCATGCTAACTATCAACTTAGCAATTGAAATGTGGGATTGGTTTCGAATTGAACGGATGTTTATGTCAAACATAAACGAAAAGTTTTTTTTTTCCGTTAGGTTTCACTTTAAGTTAAAGGAAAATTTAATAACATTTTTAGGCGAATATGGGACAATTAGTCGGCAAAATAATCGGTAAAAATTCCGAATCTCACACCTGTAATGATGTGTTTCTCTCTGAGTACAGATCTGCCGTTTTCGCATTTTTACATTTATAATGTTTAAAATTATGTAACTTCGTATAGTAGTTTGGGAGTTGTCTTTGACAATAAACATTGCGTACAAAATAACCTGAAAACGACGGATTCATCCGAACAATGGACGTTTGTCTTCATGATATTATTTTTTATAGGTTTTACTTTATTTATCTCAATAAGTGTTCTTGTATTTTAAAAATACTTTAAAACATGTTTATAATTTAAAAATTCTAATTATTTAATTTAAAGTGCGCTGCAATTTTTTAAACACAGTAAATCGCTTTTAAAATAAAATTTCTAACACACTTAAAATTCAATTTTAAAAATTAATTTTATGAGTAATTTATTACAGTTTGTTTATAATCGGTAACAATTAAATGTATAATTAATTAATAATTTCTGATCACATTAAAAATAATCACTAAACATTATCATTATATTGGAAATTTCACAAATATTCAACACTTTTTAATTCATTCAATACGTCATACAATATTTCATTCGAATTCTAAATTATTTAAATAAGTACTGAAGACACCAAACATCATGAATTAATAGTGTATAACTTCAAAGACTGATTTTCTTTGGCATGTTTTATATAATTCTTGTATCAAAAGTAAATAAATTTTCGTATTTGCTAACAGTTTATATTAACCAGAAGAAAATATTTGAATTTTCGAAAAAATATTTATTGAACTGTTTCATTGTACATCTTGAGAAATTTTTCGTTTCTTACATAAAATTCTTCGTTTTGTCTTACTACTACAAATAATTCACTCGAATCGAAATATGGTAATTCACCTCCATATTCAATAGGAAGATATTCTGGATGAACGAATTCATGTAAAGACGTCATGTCACTATGTGGAAATATCTGTAAACGAGTTATTATATTTATTATAAAACAATAATTTAACGTCATTAATATTCATTTACTTTTGAAATATTTACGTTACGTATTCAGTGTAATAAAAGTATAAGTCTATATAATAGCCAAAAAACAACTTATTTTGCAATTGCATACAGAGAGAGCGTTTCTAACTAATATGTCGATTCTCTTTTAATGATTCATTCTTTGTTTTTTTTTATTTTGTATTGTAATTGTAGAGGGTTTGCTGCAATTAAATAATAAATTCATAATTTCACTCCAGGTAACTTAACTAGCTGAATTCCTTTGTCATCGTGAACAATTATATATTTACTAATTAATGTAATAACTTCATGATTGTGAAAAAAGAACAGAGAGAGATATTATATTATACATTTATACACTCTATGCATTTGTAACAATATATTACTTAAAAATTCACCTATGTAGTCTTGTTATCAGTATTTCCTTCTTCTGTGCATTAAACAGGCTTTTATTTATTTATTGATATAGAGTGTTCTCAATCATTTATTTTGATACTGTTTCAGTAATTAAATATAATACGTTTAAAATATCTTAATGAAAGTTTTCAGCAATATTTTCATAAACGTTTGACTCTTGCGTTTTGAAGACAATAGCAGTATCCAAGGAAAGGGAAGCATACTCTTGAGAAAAATGTCACCGTTTCGAAATAACAGGAACATTTATAGACGAAATATTCATAATATGAAACAATAAGAACAGCGATATGTTTAAATTTCTATTTTATAAACGTTGTTCTGTAATTTGTCAGTAATAGAACATTTTAAAAAGAAATGTACGTTGCACAACTTGGCGTATTGTTTCATAAGTAAATCGTAAATAATAGATAATAAGTAATTAGTTTAAAAATATACTGTTTTAAAATACAAACTTTATTGCTTTATTCTTTAGAATAAATTTTACTTACTTTATTTCGTAGTTTTGCAGGAAAAAGTGACAGAGAAAATTTTACTAATCCTTTGACAATGACGTTCAAATTGACGAAATGCATTTCTTTGATAAATACTTGATTGGAATCATTCTAATATAAACAAGTTAAAAATTTAATACAATTAACAATTTTTTCTTCATTTTTTTAATTACAAAATTAAACGTATAGATAATATAGTTTGTTTTTTTGGATCACAACTAGGTGCATTGATAGACTCTGGGCATTTTGGCATGACTCTTTATTCTGTAAAATTTTGTGGGGCGATACGCGTTTTGGGTATTCGCCCCTCTTCTGTCAGCCTTACTTTTGTAATATCTTGATAGGTGTTAATAAATATACATCTTAGTTTAAAATTACAGTGGTTACAATTAAAATGTTTCTGTTTCCATTAAAAATTCCTCAGCATTACTCTCAACAGCGCTCAGCTTAGGATATCATCAGTATGAGCTCAGTGTTGTTGAAATGTTCTGAATATTTTAATAGAAAAGTTAGTATTTAGTAAAAAACTATTTACTTTCGTACAAAACCGTTAGTAGTAATCAAAGTTTTTTCCGCTATAATGCAAGAATTTACAGCGATTACCCGCTAAATAATGGTTTACCTACTAAAAACTAAATAAGTTTCTTATTAAATATTAAATTATTACAATAGTTGCTGCTGTTAGTAGGAACCCATAACAAAGCAGTACTTTTTAGTAAAAATAAACTACTGTTTAATGATACATTAGTAGGAAGTGTATTGTAAAATTTGACTGTTTAGGAGGAAGTAGAATTTCAGATTTTGTAACATTTTACATTTTACATTTACCAAAGGATTAGAAGGGCTCCATCAATAGGTATAGCCTTGGTAAAGGAAATATGAAGGGTTATAGCAGAAGTGATTAGAATAATAAAAAAAAAAAGAATGACAGGAAAAGGTGAAATATGAGACTTTAGGGTGCCACCAAGTGTCAATTGTATAACTCCAATGAATAGAAATTACAAACACCCAATACAAAAGACAAGGCCTCCATGGCTTTAGAGGTAACAAAAGAAAAAGAAAAACAATCACACATATCCGATATAGCCAGCCCAAACAGCTGACGTCGTGGCAAAAGTATACTTGCGCATTCAGCTGTGTTGATTATTGTAACAGAGATATCAGAAACAGAAATTTAATAAAAAATGTTATTAAAATTTTGTTTAAATATTAATGATTTTAACTTTGAATTTAAACAAAATGTTAAGTAAAAGTTTATACTTACACTTATTAAGCTTACTAAGTTGTGTATAAATCTTGGTGTGTATTCCATTAATTGCTTAAAAGTGGAATTTTTACAGTCTAAAATTAAAACTATTCCGTTCTCTTGACATTGGTGTAAAGTAAAGAATAAATCTGCTAAGAGGAACGTTAGGCGGTAAACATCTATCAAAAGTACTTCTGAAGGATCCCAATGTCCTGTATATTAAAAAATATCAAGAATAAATTAAAATATTCTTATTTAAATGTAAATACAGTGCACTTTTGTTACTCCGTAAGTAAATAAATTTCGAAATTTCACAACGTCCTTATTTTCCGGATGTTTATCTTAATTCGAATAAAGTCTTCCAGCATCGTGCTTGTTGTACTTGGTGGCTGTTAGCAAGAGGAGTGTGCACTTTGATCAACGTTTATGTGTATGCAGTATAGTTGTTTTCACATACTTCAATATTGGTGTTGCTCATAAATTATGTATATACATTTTTGTAAACTTCATATTACAGTGGTACCTCAGGATACGAAATTAATCCGTTCCGAAACTGAGATCGTATCATGAAAATGTCGTAAGGTGGATCATCTTTTCCCATACGATTACATGTAAAACCAAATAATTCGTTCCAACGCGAAAAACATACTCAAATTAAAGCCAAGTAATACATTTAAAAAAATAACTGTAGTAAGAAAAACAAATGAAAAATGCGAACTAATGTAACGTCGTATCGTGAGTTTTTGTTCGTATCGTGGAGCAAAAATATGTTCGAATTTCATGTCGTATCCTGAAAATTTCGTATGCTGGGGCGTTCGTAACCTGAGGTACCACTGTATATTAATCATAATTACTCTGCACATGATATAAATTAATGGTTTCTTAAATACTCATTTGGAAAATTGACTTTTGAAATTTGTAGTTAATCCTTTCATGTATTACAGCGTAATATCCAGAGTCTTCAGTATGCTAACTTTCTTTTCTTTATATATAACTAGGCTAATTCGTATAACTCTGTATTATTATTAGTTCGGATTAGCAAAAGTACACTGCATTTCAACTTTATGTTAAAACTACAAAACTAAGTCTAAAATTACATATATATTACATAAGATTAAAACATGAAGTACATTATAATACTGTAGTTCTAATTCGTGTATTTCGCAGGTTTGAGATTTTGAATTAAATGTAATTCAACGTTGACAGGTAAACAAAATAGAACACAATGTATATTTACTACCATCGAAATGCTATCTTTGAGAAATATCCCCATTTAGATATGAGATATATGGAAAACCCTATGTGGTCATTTTGTTGTTTAGCAGTAACTCACATCGTTATGTAGTTATTTTCTTTGTTTTCTCAAATCATAGGTAAAGATAAAACTAAATTGTTTTTAATACGTTCTACTGCAATTCTGATCGCTGTTCGTTACTTCGAGCTAGTACATACTCCTGAAATTTCTTGCATAATTTTACCATGTGCACTTCACCTGGTAGTAAACGAGATGTTTTATATTGCAATGAAAATATTCTCCTGTTCTAGTCAAACGTTCTTATTTATGCATCCATCTATCCAATTTTGGGCTGGAAAACGTCGTCGATCTGCGATTAGGCAATCGTTCCACACAGGAATGCTAATTCGTATTAGTATCTAGAAGGATGTGGAAGATTTATGTGTCTTACAACTCTCGTCTTCTACAATCCGAGAAATGAATAACGTTGCCTAATTGCTCAAAAGCGAACATATGAAAGATTCAAATTATCCCGACATTTTAAAATGAAAATTTACTTATTATTCATCTTCGGAAAATCTTTGTTATTTTTCTTCGATCATTCTATAATTCACAAGTATATACTGATTTCACATCGAGAGTGACGGCAGTGACCCCACTCGAATTGAAAAGGTCACTGACTCACTAAATATACAGGAAACTTTTTGGTTCAATTTCTTCATCTGTAAAAGCCTATAATAATTATGTATATCTCATTCGAAATATAATTATTCACTTAGGTAGACTGCAAAATTTCAGCATTTTCAATAAAGGGCTTGACGAAATATTAGTAATCGAAATGTGCAAAAATCGCCAAAATAACATCTTTGCTTTCTTATATATAACAGAAAGAAAGTATGAAAATCAATTGAAAAATACACTTTTCCCCGAATACTTTAAAATTTTTGAACTCAGGCGACCTTGAAACGTGCAGAAAAAATTAGGTTATTTTCCGTATGTATGGATGTTAATGTGTTGGGAAGCACGATTTTGTTCAAGAGCTAATAAGCTGAAGCTAATACCTTGGAAGCTAATAACTCCCGTTCTTTTTATCGAAAATTTATCAAATTCTGCAAGGAGGTTTTTGTATTGGTGGATTGATGCTATTACATTTTAGTGATTTAAGTTTGAGAAGGCGAAGAGTAAAAGGAGTCATATAATACCTTCATTATGGTCGGACTTAAAGAGGATTTTATTCGTTATTTACATTTGCAATTTTTTACAAATCCAATCCCTACTTCAAAATTAAGATGTTTTCATTTTATAGTAATTAAAAAAATAAAAAAACATTTTAAATAAAATATAATAGAAGATAGCGGCATAAAATGTTGCCAGAAATGTTAAGTAACGCCTTGTTGGAAATTTTTCTTCTATTTATTTCACCAGTCATATTGCAGACACCCGTCGAGAAAAAAAACTATCGGATCTAAAAAACTCAAATTTTAAACTTAAGCCTCTATCGTTATTAGTATAGTGCTAAAGAAACTTCCGTGTCAATAGGTCACAGTTAACGGAGATATAGCTATTTTACTTTTATCGCTTTATAATCGCAAACACAAATTTTTATTGTATTTATTTTCAGGCACTTGGCAATTTTTATCATCAAATTTTATTTAGTTGAAGTTAAGCGTACCACTGGTTACTATAGTCATATGACTAGTAGGCCACCTTGTGGCAGTATTACGTCTTACATAAAATATCTTTTTTCTTAAAATGTCTTTTTTTATACAAATTATTTCTTTTCAAGAAATTACCTTTTTACATAAACTAGCAGACCCCGCCACGCCTTGTTGTGGCTCAAAATGTATCTATTATAAATGTATAACACTTGCCCAGTGGAGGAAAATTTTTCGAAAAATCCCTTCTTAGTGTACATTCTGTTGACGTATCCTATTAAAATGCAATCAAAAACGGAAAAAACTGCATCTAAAATGGTATAAATAGAAGCAGAGTTCTTTACGGTAACCTTTTCCATAAGGCTTACCGTAAAGAACTGTCCATCCCCCATGTTTAACGGAATAATATATAGCCTATTTCCACCCTGAAGTTCCATTCTAAATATTGGTGAAAGAATTTTTGAAATCGGATGAGTAGTTTCGGAGATTACCTGCTGCATACAAACTAACATACAAACATTACCTCTTTATAATATTAGTATAGATTATCTTTTCTGAATATTATAAGATATTTAGACAGTTTTCATTAATTTTAATACTTACATTTTTCTTTATGCATTTTTTGCTTTTGATAATTTCTGCGCTTTCTTTAAACTTTCTACCATATGTTTCTTTTTCTTTGTGCAGTATTTGTATATTATCTTTATCTATTGTACAATCATTCATGGTGCAATGATCATGGAAGGCAGAATTTATTTTATCGTATTTCAGATCCGCTATATGTTCTTTTAATCTAGTTTTTAACTTCCTTTTTGTTTCTCCTATATAATATTTATTATTGCTACAAGTACAATGAATTTTATACATTCTTAGTTTCTGTTGGTGGTTGTTGTTTTTTCTCAATTTCGAACTGTTTTAATCTTGTATACATTTTTTGGTATGACGGTGCTAACTTAAAGTGCATATTGCTTATTTCATTATCAATTTGTTCGTGTAATCCTTTAATATATGGAAATCCAATATACTTAATGCTATTTGTTTTTTTATTATCCTGTTGTGTTTTAGGATTATTTATCTTAACTTAGGTTCCCATTTTTTCACTAGTCTTTGTGGGTAGCCTGCCAGGAGAAACTTCTTTTTTAATTCGGCTAAATCTGCGGATTTATGTATTTCTTGACTTGTCCTGTTTTTTATCTTAGAATATTCCATTTTAAATATGTTATTATTGACGTGAAGTGGTACGTTGTGTTGGTATCGTATTGTTATCTGACTCGATCCAGGCTTTCTAGATGTTCTAAATTCTAAACTTTGTTTTAATCTTCTTATCGTAATGTCTAAATAATTGATTTCTTTTCTGGTTGTGTCTTCTATTTCTGTATTAAATTTTATCTCTTCCTGTATATTATTAATTTTTATATTGACGTCTTCTATCTTTATTTCTGTTTCGTTGTATATTATTAGAATATCATCCACGTATCTTTTATAAAATTTATATTGCTCTTATATTGCTGATTATATTATCTATATCTATCACTATTAATTCGACTAACTTTGGTCCAATTACTGATTCCATGCTTATTCCGCTTGTCTGTGTATAAAAATAATTGTCAACGTCGAATAATTACTTCTATATGCAAATTCTATTAAACTTATTATTTCATTTTTAACTTTAAGATTTTTTAATTTATCTTCTATAAGTTCCCACGTTATTGACGGGTACATGTCTTTATATAAGCTCGGTTCTTCAAAATGAAATGTAGGAAACGATAATAAAAATCTGTTGTGTACCTCTTTCATGTAAGAAGTTTATCTTTATCGAAGAAAATCTCCTATGAGAAACAAATTTGACTTTTATGTAAATTATAAATTTTTCTCTTGGCGTACATCTCAGATATTTTTGTTTAGATTGAAATTACACAGATAACTTCGTAGAGAATCCAAACGTTATCGTAACATTCTTTCTTTCTGTCGACATTCCAACAAGGCTTTGTTTATATCAATTCCTCTTTTCTTCTTCTTCTTCTCCTGGTCTTCTTTTAAAGAAATTCTTCATGTCCAACGACTGTCCATTTCGAAGCTGGGCCAGTAGCTTTCACTCAGATCGTCCCCCTGATGGATTGGTAAAGTATGATTAACGGTGAATTGATGATCATTGAAAAACTGCCTTTCCAAACGGAAAACAAAATCGCTTTGTTTTATGATTACTTTCATTAAGCTTGCTTGACACAGCGCGTCTCATTTCTTATATTTGCAGTGTGTTACTAGGATTAATAAAATTCACTCTTGAAGAATACAAATATGGTATTTACCATTAGTTTTAAAAGTAAAATTTTGTTCCGGTTACAGGGAATAAATACGTATGAATGACTTAGAAATTAATCGTCTTGTAAACTGAGAACCATTTCCAGCGGTTTTGAGGTTGACAAAATTAAATCGACGGTTTATTAGACTTGAAATCTGATACAGATGAGCAATTACTAATTAGCATCGAAACGATAAAAAAATGAAAATTTAGAAAAAACGAGATTTGACATCTTTTACAGACACCGAGTTACAATTCACAATAGAAATTATTATGCTGTAGAAAGCAATTTGCAATAAATTATGGGAATTCGTTTAAATTTCGGCGAACACTCAAGTTTTATATTTTTCAATTTAATTTTGTATTTATTTATTTTTTAACATTTATTAGTAATATCTTACCTGCACTGCAATTATTTAAATCAATTTGCTTCTGTTTTTAACTTTTGGGTCTTTTTTTGTCGTTAAGAATATGTTAGTATCAAATAGAAAGATTGCGGCCGAAGTTTTAAAATTTTATTGATAAATTCTAAAGCGTTGCACTGTCTTATACCATTAATCTAAATTCAATCCTTTCTCAAATCTTCAAACTATGTATACCTTTTCGGATTGCAATAATACCAGGCTGTACTTATAACTTCCATTCACAAGTGTAAATAAATAACGCAGGTTAATGTAAATTAGTGAATAACGTATTCTATAATAACTATAAATTAATTAAAAGTTAAAAAATAAATTAAAACTTTTTAGAAATCTTACCCAATTGTCCTATACAAATAAAGCGTCCATTTTGATCAGGCTGAGGTAAAACTCTCATACAATTTGAAGATAAAGCTTTTTCTAACTTTGATGGAAGTAGATTTTTAAAATATGCCGGATATTCTAGTCTTGTAGAATAATAATTCCTAAGCAATTGAAGTGAACTTTCAACATCAAATTTCATCCCACGAAGAAATCCAAGAAGAAAAATGTCGTCCATTTTGCATTTGATTTTATGTTGAACTGAAAAATTAATTAAAACTCATTATAAAATGATGCATTTAATAGTAATACTGTTATAAAAATTATCTTAAGATTCATGACCAAAGACATTTTTACATATTTCCGAAATTAATAGATATTAAAAATACTACTTGATATTTTGAATTTTAAATACTATAATCTCTATTAAATGTTTNCAATGTAATTTATAAATGTTTAAATAATCATTATTTTAAAAAATACGTCATAATTTTAACTCCAGAAAAATGCAGACGTATAAGTCGAACTTCTACTTGCCATGCTCGATGGTCCAAACGTCATTGTCAAACTTTTAGGCTTAGAAGATTATGGCACTCGACGTTCACGTTTTAGAGATGAAACCTTCCGCAGCAACTTCCCTAACATCTTTCAACAGTTTTTCAAGAACAGTATGGAAATTTCCACACCACGTTGTATGTACTGTACAATACAGTAGTAGTAAGGATGATGGATGAAAATAGGATGCATGTGTTGCATGCTGATTGGCAGCGATAAAATCTTCATGCAAAATGACAATGGCGTTTGAATCGATTCAAAATACTAGCTGACTGCAGAACAGCTATAAGTGTCGGGACTTTATTGGTTGATGGAATACTAAGAACAGAGAATTCCAGCATCGAATAATAATTCAAGTGCTAAGATACAAACATTTCGGGGGGAAAGGTAAAATAGAGATTGCACAATATTACAATTTTAATGTAGAGCCTATTCGTGTTGAAAGCTCTAAATTACGATTTTAATGTTCAGACAGAAACGGAGGAGTTCGACATATTTAAGACATCTCATCCATATAAATTTTCTATGTGAATTTCAGGTTAGCATCTCTACGAGAAAAGATTGCTGCATTCACCGCCTCATCCTTAAGCTGATTTCAATAAACACACTAAACACTAGAAGTTGGACAGGAGATCCAGTTACGCAAAGTGGCTGGCTACTCAGAGATTTCCGACCAGTCTGCCATAGAAACTTTCCGAATGATTCATTTGGATTCGATTTATAGGATAAAGCAGTGCAACCTTTATGCGCAATGCCACAGAAGGAGATGCCTTTTAGGAAGACCTTTCCGTAAAACTGGAAACTGTGTTGATATGAGTTTTAGATACTGAAAGAAAATCCGGATAACTACGTATAGCCAGATTTTGAGGACTGAAACCGAAACCTACTTTTTATGATTTTTTCCTACTTTCAAATGATGAATAAAATTTTTGGTCTGAAACCAAAAAGATTTTTTGATAAATTCTAAAGCGTTGCACTGTCTTATTTCATTAATCTAAATTCAATCCTTTTTCAAATCTTCAAACTATGTATGCCTATTCTGATCACAATAACATCAGGCTGTACTTATAACTTCTATTCACCAGTGTAAATAAATAACGCATGTTAATGTAAATTAATGAATAACGTATTCTATAATCACTATAAATTAATTACAACTTAAAAAATAAATTAAAACTTTTTAGAAATCTTACCCAATTGTCCTATACAAATATATCGCCCATTTTGATCAGGCTGAGGTAAAAATCTCATACAATTTGAAGATAAAGCTTTTTCTAACTTTGATGGAAATAGATTTTTAAAATACGCCGGATATTCTAGTCTTGTAGAATAATAATTCCTAAGCAATTGAAGTGAACTTTCAACATTAAATTCCATCCCACGAAGAAATCCAAGAAGAAAGATGTCGTCCATTTTGCATTTTATTTTATGTTCAACTGAAAAATTAATTAAAACTCATTATAAAATAATGCATTTAATAGTAATACTGTTATAAAAAGTATCGTAAGATTCAAAGAAATCTTTACATATTTCCGAAATTATTGGATATTAAAAATTCCACTTGATATTTTGAATTTTAAATATTATAATCTCTATGAAATGTTTAATACGAGTATATCTTTATTCTTGGTTTTGTATACAGATTACTTATTGATGTGTGTACCGAATTTCATAGTGTATTTCTAGGAGAATGACGTAAGCATATTATGTGTTTGGCATAGCATTAAAATTACGTGTTACCATAAAAATATAATTTCATAACTATGCAAAGTAACACCAACCTCAATGCTTCTTTCACATCTTGAAATACAGCATATTTAAATAATAAAAAGGAATTTATTTAATATAAAGATTAAATTAACTACAGTAATGTTTCTGGAATAAAAAGAAATATGAATTCAACAGCCCTCGAGTCAAAATAACATCAACTGAAAAAATTTCTTCATATCTTGTTGTTGGAGTTACTATCGTACATAAACAAAGTAAACAGTTATCTCTAGTTTTAAACCGAAGAAAATATTGAAACCAAAAATATACAGAATGAGCAAGCAACTGTATTAAAATACACGCAATAGACCGATAAAGAAAACTAAGCATCAATAAATGAAAAAGGAGGAAAAGAAGCAGATACAGAAACTTCTGAAGAGGTTTAGGATCCTTTATCTACCTTTTTTTACTAATTAATGAAAGTAAATCTACTTACGTCAGTAGTGACGAAGAATATAAAAAATTTTTAAAACATGGAGAATTTGATTCATTGTACGACGAAGATTTCCTAAGATTATAATGAAGTTGAAAAACTCGTTACTGCCTGTAAATTTTGTACATTTAGGTGATTGCTGTGATTGTGTGTTACGGCTAATGGGAATCTTAGCCAGGCACAAGTTCAAAGTGGTGAGTCAGTACCCCAAGGTTCAAATCTATTCTGGGGTATACGTTCGTTCTTCTTGCTTCTCGCACTCCTACGTCCTAACAACCAGTGACCAAACCACAAAGTGACTGACCCTGCGGTTCCTCTCCTACCGCGCAGGGTTATTCTCGCAACGACTTCCGTTTCCGTGGCTAGGGGGCTTCTGCCTTAGGGGTGTTTAGTCATTATCTCAAGAACAATAACTTCGTGCCACTGGCCACTCGACCAAGCACATGTACGGTACAAAGTGTCCGTTACATTGTGTTATATTAGACCTAGTCANCAATGCTTCTTTCACATCTTGAAATACAGCATATTTAAATAATAAAAAGGAATTTATTTAATATAAAGATTAAATTAACTACAGTAATGTTTCTGGAATAAAAAGAAATATGAATTCAACAGCCCTCGAGTCAAAATAACATCAACTGAAAAAATTTCTTCATATCTTGTTGTTGGAGTTACTATCGTACATAAACAAAGTAAACAGTTATCTCTAGTTTTAAACCGAAGAAAATATTGAAACCAAAAATATACAGAATGAGCAAGCAACTGTATTAAAATACACGCAATAGACCGATAAAGAAAACTAAGCATCAATAAATGAAAAAGGAGGAAAAGAAGCAGATACAGAAACTTCTGAAGAGGTTTAGGATCCTTTATCTACCTTTTTTTACTAATTAATGAAAGTAAATCTACTTACGTCAGTAGTGACGAAGAATATAAAAAATTTTTAAAACATGGAGAATTTGATTCATTGTACGACGAAGATTTCCTAAGATTATAATGAAGTTGAAAAACTCGTTACTGCCTGTAAATTTTGTACATTTAGGTGATTGCTGTGATTGTGTGTTACGGCTAATGGGAATCTTAGCCAGGCACAAGTTCAAAGTGGTGAGTCAGTACCCCAAGGTTCAAATCTATTCTGGGGTATACGTTCGTTCTTCTTGCTTCTCGCACTCCTACGTCCTAACAACCAGTGACCAAACCACAAAGTGACTGACCCTGCGGTTCCTCTCCTACCGCGCAGGGTTATTCTCGCAACGACTTCCGTTTCCGTGGCTAGGGGGCTTCTGCCTTAGGGGTGTTTAGTCATTATCTCAAGAACAATAACTTCGTGCCACTGGCCACTCGACCAAGCACATGTACGGTACAAAGTGTCCGTTACATTGTGTTATATTAGACCTAGTCAAATTCAAAAACCACTTTGTTTCCATATATCACAAAACAATTATATTACTTCTGGTGTGACAAAGTTCAAATACTTTTAATCCACGACAACAGGTCCGTCGAAAAAGGACACCTTGCGACAAATTCCTTCCCATTAGGAAAGATCCTTAACCAGTCGGTGAGCCGAAACAACTCCTTCCGTGAGTCTGCTGAAACTCTTGATGATGGACTACGATGTGCTTTTGCTGACTCCTGGTCAACACGAGTTCTCTTAGCAGGTTGTATGCGGAATCTAAAAATCCTGCTTAAACTTAGTTTTTATATACAGATTGGAACGAAGGCAAATCCACCAATCCACACCTAGTAGCTCTAACAGAGGTCCGCAGGTCGTACGATGTCTTGTAGCCAATCCGCGGTCGAGTTTCCAAAGTTGCCTGATCGGCATTTTCATGGTGACAACAGTCGTTCGTTTGAAAGGACAGAAAAGCGCGGAAAATCGTATGTCGGAAGATTTTATCCTGACACCTCCACGGCCGAGGATCAAACTGCGCTTACTTAAGCCTGTTTGATTCCCTTCACAACACCAAACAATCTTACAAAATCGTCCGATATCGGACTGACCCATTCTTCTGGAACACCCGGGAATTTACCCGTCTACGCGCAGAAATGCCTTGCTTTACCGTGTAGTTCCCCTTCCGGTGTCTGACCTGACTAACAAAACCCTGTTTAACGGGTCTGCCGTATCCCCTATCCTGACAGTGGCCTAAACCGTCCTCGACGCTCAACTCGTCGTTCTCGATTTTGGTGGGCTCTCGCAACTGGGAGAGCGACATGTCCTGTACTTGGGAATCCCATAAATCCATTCCCTTTCCCCTACTGTCGATACTACCGCCTCCCGCCGCCTGTAAGATAGGTTTAGGCTCCTTCCCCTGGGAAAACTGCTTCCATTTACCCTTAGCTCCTTTACTTGTCTTTCTCACTTTCTCTGGAGTTCCTCCTTCTGGTCTAATACCATTCGGTAATCCTCCTCCAATACTAGGGCGTCCGTGGTCTTCATTCATTCATTCATTCATTTAAATTTATTAATGTAACAAGGTTACATGACCTGATGTCGCAAATGCATAATCAGGTATTAAAATACGATATATTTGTC